ACCAAATTTTAATGTATAATTAAAATATTCCTATTATTATTATTTTTATAAATTTTCAGTACCCCATTTAACCTTGACCCATTTGCATTTGAACCAAGCTGAACGGAAGCTAATACTTGCACAAGCTTCCGCTGATAATAAAATCTATTTTACGGAACTGACCTTCGCGTTCATTTTTGCAATGATTCAATGAATTGATAGAGCTGATTACTACTGCTCGCTCGCTCTCTATATAAGCAGATCTGGTGTGATTTTACCGGCATCACACTTTCACAAGTTCGCACAAAAGTTATTGCAGCAGAGCACGCAGTGATCCTCAGGCGTGCCTCGATCTTCGATAAAGTTTTAAGTTGAAAACTCAGACTCGATCACCATGCTAGTGAAATTAGTCGTAGCTCAACTCGGGCTGGTCGGCTTACTATGCCTAGCACCGGCTCAGGCTCAGTATCGTGCCTCACCCAAGCTCGCAGGACCCGCTGCTCTGGCAGACAACTCAGCTGATCCCATTCTCAACGCCCTGGATGTGGCCATGGATAAGATAAGCAATATATATATACAAGCGCTCCTTTCCAGCACGCATACGCCCGAGCTGGAAATATCGCTGCGAGCTCTGGAACTAGAGCTGTACGAGCTGCTCGATCAGCTCTATAAGCAACATCGCCTGAAGGACTATATGAAATACGAGTCGGAAGTGTCGAAGCAAATGATTATCTACAATTTGCTAAAGGAACTCTTTGGCTATACGCAGCACATTGAGAAGTCATAGTAAAAGTGAATTCAAGAATTTCTGTTCAATAAATTTAAATTAAATTTACATCCTTTCACTCTCTACTCATTTATATTTGTTGTTTTCCAATTTAAAACACTTCCGTAATGGCTTCCGCACAGGGAGCCTGTGTCCTGCGGCTGCCTTGCGTGTGGCTGTCGAGCGACACAGCGGACTCAACTCTCGCCTCGCAGTCCCTTCGAGCCGCGATCGCCTGCGATCCCTTCCCACACTCAATCATAACAGCGCGGCGTCGGCTGCTGTTACCCGATCTGCTGTGAGAACGAACAGAACAGAATTATCATAATTTTCATTTCCTTTTAGTGCTATTATCCTTTGGCAGTCTCCAAATACCGTTGCACTTGTTCGTCGTGTTCCCACCACACACACAGAGATCCTCGAGATCCTTTATCTCTCTGCTCGCCTCGCTGTTTGCTTTGTGGCTCGCAGGACCTGCGCCTGTGTTTGCATTGCACTTGTTCTGTTGAGCCTTTTTCTCTTTGTATGTGTTTGCTGTGATTTGATGCTGCGATCGTGTGTCTCTCTCTCTACATCGATCTCTCTCTCGCTCCCTCTGTGGTCGTCGGCATGTCTATGTGAAATTCTTGTGCATTTTGTTTCGGTCGATCACTTTTGTTTTTACTTTTGATTTCGTTTCCCTGGGCATGAGAATCTTTTTCATGCTGGCATTGAAATACGTTTGGCATAGCTCATGGCCAGAGAGTTGCATAAATTGTTGCCTCCAAGTGGGTTGCTATGCCAAATGCGCAGTTTCTGAGAAACTGGTTATATTGCGGAAAAATTAATAAAATACAAAATCCAGGAAGAAATTATCTCTATTGTCCAGGGACTTGTGGAATTTCTGGTTTAATTTGCGCAATGGAAACTCAGAATACCCTCCTCATAAACGAGTTCCTAATTCGCATATCCTTGGCATCTCTATCTCTAATCTATTTAATTGCAATTAACTTGGCAAACATTGTTGCAAACATTGTTTTTTCCCACACTTAATTTCGGTGTAAACCCAAGAAATCTCATTGGTATTATAATAGAKATATCCTTGCAAACAAACAAACAACAAAGTCATGCAGTGTTTAACAAGAATTCTCTCACACTCCCACACACAAACATACACACACATACACATACAGAGAGAACGCATTTAACATATACCGAATGCGATCCTTTTTGGCCACAGCAAAGGATGAAATGAATTTTACCGTCTACCTGTCTCGAAGCAAATTCAAATCGCTTGCATTTTTCACACGACCCAATGTGAAATGGCTGTGAATGGGCCCTGATAACCGTGATCGGGTCCTGTGCGTCCAACAAGTGCATCTGAAATGGAAATAAAGGAGCAGATATCAATAACCCACAGCAAATATGCGTGAGATAGCAGCAGGATTTCAGCTTTGCATAATAGCTACATGCAAAGAAATCACTTCTGCGATCTGCCGAGAATATTTTCCCAGCCACCACAAGGCTCCATGGGGTCAATAGAGTCCTTCAGGTAAACGCCTATCAAATTTGAGACGGAAGTGCCCACGCGTCGCGCACTTGAAATATAGAAAGAAAAAAAAAACGGGGGAAGTGAACACAAAAATCCTGAGTGGTTACAAATTCGAATATCACGCGTATGATTTGTGGCATATTACAGGAAACAAATTGCTGTCGATTTTCCATCCTAGTTTTCCTTTTTTTTGTTATGCGTAAAAAGGGAAAAGAAAAGGCTGCAGCGAGTAAAATTGAAAGTTACTTCCGCTTCATGCTGAGATTTTTGTGAGGGAACCCTTTGCATGAGCACCATATGGCAAGATTTGGTCGGAAGTTGGAAAGGAGTAAATAATTTGTAAATATATATTTTTATAGATAAGAGAATACTTAAAAAAATCAAATTTGATTGCAATTGTAGATATTGACAAAAGTTGTAAATGCAAAGGATTGGGCAATAAATATTCTAAGAAATTAGTTAGCCAATTTATACGTCATTGATTCTTCTAAAATATACATCATATTACGTATATTTCAAAATCATACAAATTATATCAATATTAATTTAAATTTTT